TAAGTATAATAGGGAAATAATTATTAATCTTTTTTAGGTTGTTATTGGGTTATTGTGTGTGGTGCAGAAGAGCATTTATTATTGTGGATTTGGGGCATCCAAACCTATCTGAGGACTAATTTTGTATCTACCTATTACTGTCAGGCTGAAATAATAATGTGCAAGCAGCAAACAGAAAGAATAGCATGGGTTTGTGGGAAGTGTATTATGCTGTTTGAAACATTTAAAAATATCAAATAATGAGGAAACTTATAATCCATTTATAATTCAATTTCATTGAGGTTCTGTACTGCAAGTAAGCTTCCCTGTGATAAATATTTAGCCTTGGTATAGTGATCACCAGCATAAGGAAAGAGGGCTAGAAGAACGTGTCTGAATAGTAATTTGGTCCTCTAATAAGTCTGGAGGAAGCACGACTTCTGATGAAATTGTAGATACTTGCAAATAAAAATACTTTAGCCATAGGGTCTGTAGGTAAATCAGCACGACTCTAATCTTCAAGAGTGACATTTAGCACTGGGGATTTGATTTTGTACTTCCTGTTCATTTTTTGACTGCCTTGGGGAAAAAAGGTCAGAAAGTACAAAACTCTAAGAAAATAGAGCATATTGTTAGATTATAGCAGTAATGTTGATGCCAGTCTTCCCCTGAGAACCTTGTTTGATTGTGAACAAGATTCTTCCCAGTCCACAAATAAAAATAAGTTTATCCCTTACAAAGGAAACATGCTGATTTCAAATGGTGATTGACAGCTTCAGTGGAAAAGGACTTATAGTAACCAAACCTGGAAGTACAGGAGTGACTCAAGAGTTAAAAGAACAGTGGCACTGATGAATCCATTTAACTGGCAAAGTGGTTTTAATTGAGTTGGTTGCTAGGGAATGGCCCCAGCACCATGTATTTCAATGAATTTAAACATTGGGCAAATGGCACACCTAAGTCTGAATAATACACCTGGTGTTGGCTCTGGGTGTACTGGGAGCAGGTTGCTGCTTGCCAAGCCATTTCCCCGTGTTGTGCAGTTCCACTCTTTGGCTGATGTGCTGCCTTGCCCTGTTCTGTGGTGGCTGCTGGGCCAGCTGAATTTGCCGTGCCAATTCTGTATTTAGTAATTTGCAGTATGCTTATTGTTTTAGAAAATAAGGAGTGTGAACATAATTAGAAACTGCTTTCTAGAACTAGCCTTACAGCTGGATTAACTTGTGTTTGATAGAAGAATTAATTTCTTGCAGGTTTCCACCTTTTCTGTTACAGGCAGTGTCAGATACTGCTCTCAATTCTGTTGTAAAATGATGAAGTTATTCCTTCAGTGAAGTTGCCCTGGGCTTCTGCATGGGGTGGTTGTGCAAGGGCCAGTGTGTGCACACTGTTGTTGGTTGCTAGCTTTGCACCCAGTGCCTGTTACGTCAGTGCCAAGCAATACTAATCAATAGCATGTTAAAAATACCATCTGGAGGTAGAGCTGATGCAGGTCAGCCCTGTGTGTCCTGCCTGTGGTGCTCTAGAATTGGCAGTGATTACCGAGGGTGATATTAAAAAGAAGTCTTTCCTTGGTGTAAATGCTACTTGGGAACAGAACTTGGCTCCATTCTTTTATAAATAGAATAAATGTACTGAAGTCTGGCTTTATCTTTTCAGCATTTATAATGTGACTTTGTATAATGTTCTGTGTTGCCACACAGGAGAATTAAGTTTGGCTCTATTCTCCTTTCCCATACTAGCAGGAGTAAAGAACAAAAGGAGGCAGCTGTATCTAATTCAGGCTATGAAGTGAGTCAGGGACTTGTTAAACTCCACCGTAAACCACAGAAAATAAGAGGACCAGACTTTCTCTAATGCTGCGAGGTTTAACAGACTTAATAAAGCTCAGCTAGATGGCCCAGCTTAAGAACACTTCATGAATTTCTGATTGCACTTTCCTAATTATAAACCAGGAGTGACCAGACTTGTCAAATTTATGTGTAATCTGGGAGAAAATAGGATGTCTACCTAATTCTCATGAGAGCCACTACAGATAAAGCATCTTCAATACTGGAGGATGGCCTGCAGAGGCACATAAAGCAGTGGACCATCTGTACCACTCAGATCAAAATGCGTCGTTGGAGAGTGTGCTGTATTAAAAGTGAAGGCAGACTGGGTCACTGCTGTGGATCTCTTCTGGTTTTATCTATGAGTTGCAGGTGAAATTTATTGACAGAGGGAAAGAATTGTCAATAGAGACTTTGTCATATTCCTTCCTTAATGTTCACTGAAGACTGTGGGTTAAAAAAAAAATCCATCTATTTAACCACTGGCAATCCATGCAAGAGACTGTTCTGTTGCTATTCTGAGAGCTGGCTTTTAGATTTTACTGCATATGTGCTGTTAGTTGTGGCATGTCTGTCTGTTATAAATGCATACTTCAAGAAATAGGTTATTTTCTAAAATTGCTTTAATTTTCTTACCTAGTTATTGGTATGAGTTTTGCACATAATTATATACTTTGAGTTGGTTCCAAGTAGTACTTACCTTGATAATAATAGGAACTGAACACATCAGAATAGCTGAAAAATCTTTGTCATGGAGAGGGTTGAGAAAGATATAACAGGTTTGGTAGAAGGTGCCTGTTGTACCTGACATGGAATTCTCTCCTCCACCCGCAGTATTGGGAATAACTAAGTCTTTTAACCATAAATATACAAGTCTGAGTAAAATAGCTGTGAAATAGCAGTTTGTGTCCATTGCCAAGTGTGTTAAGTATTTTATAGATAATCAGCTCTCTGGGCTGAAGACAACTTCTATTTTTAGATACGACGGAGTGAGTGAGGGGCAATAAACTGTGAGGAAAAGACAGGCTGAGGGGAGAGAGGTAATGAGGTCACAAGGTTACTTCCATGCATTTGTGTGAGAGAGGTGAGAAGAATGCAAGAAAGCCTGTTACATGCACAATACAGTGAAGGTGGTTATGAGCAGATGTGACAAGAATGGTCAGCCTTCCAAATGCCCCAAGAAAAGTCAGAGAATGCCATTATTCTCAGGAGCTCATGGCTGGCATAGAGCACAAAAAAAGCACACTAAACTTTTACATCTTCAGAAAAATGTGTTTAATGAGAACATCTACGTTATCAGGTTTTTGTTTTTGTAAACAGATGTACATATGGAGTAATTTCTGAAAAGCTGATGTACAGGAATATGTGCCTGCTAAACTAATTTTCTTATTCCTCCCCTTTTGAAACAGATCTAGGGTTGCCTCTCAAGCTGCTTTTGACTACTCCTGGACAGTAGCAACACATTGAATCTGACATGATTCTTCCCAGTTGTGCTGCTGCAGATGGAATTCTGAGTACAAGGAATGAAAACTGATAGGACCTGTTGGTGTTCCCTCTGCGACAGCCTGGCAAATCTCTGAGCAGCAGCAGAGGTACTAAAGCTGTATCTGCATGCACGTGAAGTTGGACTTTGCTCTT